TTGATGCTCTTCATACTAGCTCACAATTTCAAAATAAGGCATTTTTATTCATTTTTACTGCACTTATGTTTATTTGCATCTAGCAATATTTGGTGGTTTTTTCCAGCAGAAACACAATTACTACCAAGATAATTGGTTTTTAACAATGTGCTTAGGTACCTAAAAGTTTGGCACAGTACTGTATGCTCATCAGTATGTTCCTTTAGTGACTTTTCAGGCTTAGTGTTATTGTGGTATTAGGTATTGTGTTTGGGGCTCTGTTCAGGTAAACAGTATAAATGGTATAAGAAGACGAGAGGCTGGATTCTGCCATCCATGCAGTTTCATTTACGTTGTATTGACTTTCACTTCTTGCCTGGTATGAAATAACAGCTGTCAGAGAAAAAAGAAGTTGTTTTGCTTCAGATGAAGCGGCAGGAGGAAAATATATAAATAAATGTATGAAAAAAACACACTGGCGCTCAGGTTACAGTAACAGCCAGAGCCCCCCTAACCACATTAAGGGAATATTGCACTTACCTTTTGTGTTTTAATCACAAATGATAGGATAGCAGACGAAGGCGTGAAACGCAGGCAGAACCCTCCATCGCGCTCCTGAAGACATTCTTCCTCTTGTATTGCATTTGGCTCATTATTTTATCATTTTATCTGATTGCTTTTAGATTAGTTAGCATTACACACATGGTAATGCGAGGATGGGGTCTTTTGGCTGAGAACAAAGCATAAGCTCACTAGTCTAAGTGTGCAGTGGTATTTTCAATAATCTCCCATGAAATAATTTGCATTCATTAATGCATAGATAGAGCTCAAGCTGTGTATGGGAATCTAATACGTCTCATGTGCCGTATGTTTACATGTATATATATGCATATATGTATATATGTATGTGTGTGTGTGTCCGTGGGTGCATGTCTATATATGTGTGTATGTTTGTATACATATTCGTACACATTAACACCAGCTCTATCTGGGATAAATGCCATACTATGTTATGAATGCTGTGAAGAAGCATGTATATGTATGTTGAGTCATCATCAAACACCCTGTTGCTGGTCCGGTTGCCCATTCTCTCCCACAATGTGCCGCATCCCTGTGCAGCTGATTGCAGTCCATTAAGCATCAGTGGCTTGGGACCATTAATATAGTGATAAAAACAGAAGTACAGTAACAGCTTAAAGAAAGTGTTGCTAGCTGAATAGTGTGCATATACAAGCTGAGACTTCTATGGTGTTTTGTATCAAAGATTAGACATGAATTAGAAATTGTGTTGTTTACAAAAAAAATTTATTCATACAAATCTTACAACACTTTGTTTTTGTTGCTTGTTTTTTGTTGAACATTTAAAAATGTTACCCCCCCTAAGGAGTTATATGTGTTAATATGTCGACTTCACTTTTGCTAATATTCACTTAGTCACACAGAATAGTTCAGATATAGAGAAAACTTTCACATTAAGGCTTTTGGCGCTCTCAGAAATGTACACAACAGGCTGGGGCTGTGGGCTGGGCTCCATCAGGCTTTTCCGCTAACTGTCGAATAACCCTCAAGCAAATGCAAGAAGAAACAACACAAAGAAAGCCAAGCTAGGCTCATTGGGCCTCTACATATATATATATGTATATATGTATATATATGGTCGGGATAATAATGAGTCAGTTTACTGAGACAGAAACAACTTTGCTTGCCACAATAACACATTCATTAAAACTTAGAACAGCCTAGAGAACAGTTAATACTTTTTTGCCATTTACACCAGTTCAATAGTAAATTGGAATCACAATATAATGCTGGCCATGCTTTTCAGCTGTAACTGGAATCTTGGTCCACCAAATTTGAAAGAAACAAAACAAAAAAAAAAAAGATAAAAACAAAAAGGAGAGGAAAAGATGGAGAGAGTGAAATGTAAGCTAATAGTCTGCAGCATTGTAGGGCCACTAAAAATTGCCATCCGTATTAAGTGGCGATTTTTGTCGTATAACGTTGTAGCAAGGCACCGAAGCCGAAAGCCGTGCTGTCTGTCACACATCGCTGTCATGCTTGCACGCCCGCACTCGCACACACATCCACACGCCCACACACACACCCATAAAAACATCCACACTCATATAAAGCCTGGGGAATGATGCCAAATTGAAGGAAGATTGATTTCATGCCTGGAACGACGGGCTAGAGATTGAATCAGTGGGCAAATACGGCCTGATTTCCATTTTATGGAATATACTGAACACAAACCACAAACAGCAGTTTATGGACAGTATGAGGGGAAGAAAAACAACAACTTTGGACAGTTTGTATCACCAACCTGGTGGTAATGGATAGAGATAGAGGTTATATTGATGTCTAAATGCTGCATAATACTTATCTCTGACTTAAACCTACAAAGAGTGGAACTGATTTAAGGGATGTCACGACTTTCACCGTAAAAAAAGGTGCTGAAAAGGGTTCTTTGGCATAAAACAGTCTCTCAGGGTTCTCCAGAAGGTCCAGAACCTAACTTGCAATGCATAAGGATTGTTTGAGATTCCTGCTAGAAGAACCAGTTTGAGATCCCTGCTAGAAGAACCAGTTTGAGATCCCTGCTAGAAGAACCATTTTTGGTTTTCTAAAGCAGTGGTTCCCAAGCCAGTCCTTAAGGACCCGAGATTGGTCCACAATTTGTCTCCAACCCAACTCTCAATGCCTAAGGATAGAGCAAAATTGTTGATCATCTGGTGCTCTCTGGGGACCAGATTAAGAACCCCTGCTAGGAGAGCCACGTTTGGTTCCCTAAAGCAGTGGTCCTTAGAGTCCAGATTTTGGCTCCAACCCTTCTAACAATGCATAAGGATTCAAGAACTACTTTTGGCTCAGGGATCCCAGACAGTCCTGATTTTTGCTTTAATCTAACACATAATCATAGAGATAGAGAAAAATGTAGACTGTCTAGGGCAGTGGTCTCCAACCCTGGTCCTGGAGAGCTACCCTGCCCCTTACTCAACTCTCATACATCTGATCCAGCCAATCAAGTACTTGGGAAGAGGCTGAGTAGCTGGAGCAGGTGTGGCAAATTGTGGTTGGTGTTAGGCTCTGCAGGAAGGCAGCTCTCCAGGACCAGGATTGGAGACCACTGGCCTAGGGTCATTGAGCTAGAAGTAGTTCTTCTATGGCAGGAGTCCTCAGGGCCCCCCAGATGGTCCTTTACGTTACCTGAAGCTTCTTGAAATCTGTAAAAGGTTCTTCACAGTCACACATCTTTTCCAGACATGCTTTTTTAGGGAACCAAAAGTTGTTCTTCTTGGAACCCTTTATGGTACCTTTTTTTAAGTGTTAATGGACATCTGGACTTGTGGAACTGGCCACATCTGGCTTCCCTGGACACTCTAGTTCCCCAATCTTCTCTTTCTCTCAGGCCTTCACTCCCTTTCTCATTCTCTCTGCACTTTCTTTAAAGAGATGCACGTCAACACAAATGATTTTTCTCCATAGCCTAATGATGTGGTAAATGAATATGGGAAAAGAAAACAAACTCAAAGACTATTCAATCTAATCAAAAGCAAGCGGGCCTTTGTCTCTGTAGCAATACTGCTTTGGAATCCATTGGTTTGGAGGCAAGCGTGCTGCTCTATTCCAACACTGAACCTTAACAAAGGATATTTGAAGGCCAAACTGGACTTTTTCTTACTCCCAACTAAGAAAGCATTACCGGCTGACTGAAAAGAACACATTCTCTAGTTTTCTTTGTTTTCCTTTGTCAACACATACACAAGGTCTACATTAACACAGTTTTAGGAAACAAAACAGAGCAGTCCAAGAGAGAAATGAAGCGAAACCATGAATACGATCACTCCAAACATGCCTAGAACCCATAAGATGACATGCTAGGTTAACAACACATTAGAAAGCGCCACAACATGCACTTGAGACTGTTTGTTTGTTTGTTTGTTTTCCAAAAGATGGATGGTTCTTTTTCCATTCAGCCTGAAGAGCACATAGGTTGCATGACCATGTCGAATACTCTTTAGAAGATATACAGAGCAAGGCCTAACTAATGGAATGAAGGTATCTCGAAAGAAAAAGAAACAAACAAGAGAAATAAGCCATTCTTAAGCCCACAGAACACAAGAACCTGGATTACATGAGACACAAAGATGTGGACTGCACATGCATGTATACACTACGTATATCATGCATACAGATGAGATGGAGTTTCATCTATTGGGGATTTAGAGGAGCCAATAGACAAGTCCACTCGTTCGCTTCCTGCGAGACGCATCCGCTCTCCATCCTCATTCACAAAGGCGGTCAAGACGTGGACGCTCCAGTGGGTCAGACAGGTGACTCTGCAGGTCTTTGACCTTAAACTCAGTACAAACTCGTGCTGGCTGCACCCCACCTCTCTCTCCCCCCTTCACCTACATCCTGACCACTACAGCCTGTGCTTTACAGAGTAAACCTACATCCCTGGGCCAACTTTGGACAAAATAAAACTCTATCACTTCTTCTTCTTCTTCTTCTTTTGTTTTGTTTTGTTTTTTTTTCCTCTCTTTTGTTTACAAAAATAAGTATAACATTCAGAACTTTGATTGTCTTTTTAAAATCTATTTATTTTTCTGCATATGATGAACTCGAAAAAAGATATCAAGCGCATAACGTTCAAGGTGCACAATTTTCATATAGATATATAGATATATGTATATATTAATATTTTCCTACTTTTTTTTCTCGTTTTCTGTTTTCAACATATAAAGCTATATACATGAAACTAAAACGATTGATCCACAAAAAAAAGAAAAAAAAGATAAAGAGTATAACTGTGCGGTCTCAAGTGCTTTTCTTTCTGTCTTTCTTCGTCGTACAAAAAAGAAAAAAAAAACAATGTTCTTAGTAAAATAATCATTTTAATGGCTTTACTTCATACATAAGTACATGTTGAAAGAAACACAGGCGCGATGCACTGGATTTTGTTTTAGTCGGTTATGTTTGGTGGGGCTTTGGGGCTGAATGTACAGAGGGGTGGGCGGGTGGGCAGGTGAGAAGAGGGGGGTGGGCAGGTTTTTTTGGGGAGAGGGGATTTTCTTTCTCCTCTATCGACGCTACAAATAAGCAAACCGACGTCCTTTGTTTCTAAATCTTTGTCTGTACCTTCTGCCCAGGACTGCGGCCAGATACTTCTTGACGGCCATTTGCTTTCGGTAGCGGCTGTAGCTGTCTGTGAAGATCCCATCAGAGTGGCGCTTGGACAATGGCTCTTCTTCATCCTCTTCACTGCAAAAACACACACAAACACATTTGTCTTACGTTACTTGTGAGGACTTCTATTGATTTCTATTGATTTTTGTATTACTGTAGTCAAGTAATACTACACCTAAACCTAAACCTAAACCTAACCTTAACCTCAGTGTCCAAAAGGAATTATTTCTGCTCGTTTAGCTTTATTTATGTATGTATGTGTGTGTATATATATATATATATATATAAATATATATATATATATATGTATATGTACCAGAATAAAAATTATATATATATATATATATATATTATATATATATATATATATAGTTTGTTTATATTATATATATATATATATTATATATAGATGGATGTAGATATCTATATTCCCATTGCCAGTGTCCTCACTTGTGCCAAAGAACTATTATGTTGTACTATCATTGTGAGGACTTGTGGTCCTCACAAGGATAGCAAGAGAAGCTCTGGCACACACACAAACACAGTCTCGTTAGAGCTGCCTGAGCTCAGATTTCTGCCACGCTAATGGGCTGTAATAAAGCCTTATAAGGCTGCACTGGTAAAACGTTAAATATGCACGTTTTCGTTCGATCCCAACGAATTGGCAACGAAAATGGACCCCGAAGCCTCTGAGGAGCCTCATAAATGATGCATGTTGGAGATGAAATGTGTGCCGGCGCCATTCTCCCCCCCTGCAGTGTGTTAAAGGCGTTTAACCACACACACTTCCAGATCTATTGTCGTCTGTACAAGTTTATCGTTCGTTTATGTACAAATAGTACAAACAGCACGAAGCCCCACAGACAAAGACAGTGAATGCAAAAAAATAATAATAATAAAAGGTGAAGAAAGGAAAGGGAAAGTGAAGACAGGACAACAAGAAGCCCCCCCATACACACCCCACCCCTCTTTTTAACAGAGGAGGAGGAGGAGATAGAGAGGGGGGGGGGACTGAACACACAGACACACAGAAAAAGAAGAGGCGACGCCAAAAAAGAAATAAAAAAGGGTGAATGCAGGGGAAAAAGCGCTGAAAGGAAAAGCCCTTACCCTACACGCACTGCCATCAGAGAATGCAGATATTTTCGTGCTGATAACTGAACCAGGATGTCCCTCAAGGCTCTATCTAATAATCCATCTGCATCTGCATCTGCATGCCTTTCCGCTCTGAGGTACAACACACACACACACACACACACAGCATCAGTGAGCGAGGAGAAAGAGATGAGACACCACAGCAAAGCCTCCGCGTCTCCTCGCAGTGAAACGGCAGAAAAGTAACACTGCTTCGGTCAGCCTACTGACCCGTCTGCCCCTCTCTCTGTCTGTCTGTCCGCCTGTCTCCCCTGGCTAGTGTCTATGTATCTAGCTCTCTGTCTGTTTATACGTGAGGCTGCAACGCCACTACAAAGAACAAATAAATAAAGGATAAATAATAAAATGAAATAACTAAAAGAGAAGTAAAATAAAGGAACATTAACTCTGAGGAACAGAAGAAGCAGACAGGAGCGGGACTGAGGGCGGGATGGAGCGGCTGTCCTGCTCACCTCTTCTCCGGCGGGTAGTACAGCGTGTACATGTCGTCCGACAGAGGCGGAGAGCTGCGGATGGACAGCGGCTCTGAGTCGAAGGCGAGCTCCCCCAGCGAGTTCCCGTCCTCATCGAACACGTCGCTCTCTAGTCTGAAACGAGAAATTCCACGTTGCTGTTCCAGATTCCCGATTTCGAATTCCATATTCCACATTCCCATTCCAAATTCCATATCCCACATTCCCATTCCGCATCATTATTATAACCTTATATATTATACATTGTATAGTTTCCTAGACAGAAATGTAATAATAATAATAATAATAATAATAATAATAATAATAACAATAATTCGTTTTTATTAATTAGCTCCTTGCCTAATTATTACAGTTAAATATTAGGCCTATATCTATTATTATACGTAGCCTTTTATTAAGCAATTTTATTAACTTTATAAAATTCCTTTTCTTTTTTATTTCTTTCTTTTGTTGTGTTATCATTTTTAATGACACATGTTCAAAAACGTAAAAACGTGAACAGAGAACAGGCAAATTTATTCCTCTTTGTTGAGGAATTCTGCCCGTCGCTGTCTGACTGCAGCTTTTCCTCACGTCCTGATCAGTTAAACATATTAACCGTTCTCAGCGCTTCGTTAGAGCTGTGTAAATGTATTGACTCAGTTCCTCTTAAAGCCAGTCAGAATCCGCTGATTCTGATTTTGGTGATCTACAACAAAAAAAAAAAACACTAGAGCTGCGTCCCAGCGGGCTGCTTTTTCCCACCCGCATTCCGAACAGCCCCGCCCACCCCGCGCGCCTGGATTGGCTAATTGTGTCCCGCCTCCTGCTCTTTGATTGGTTCCTACATTCTCAGCTCCTGCGCTGCCATTGGCCGGCAGTTTATCTTCACGAGGAATCTGCCTGAAAGAGGCGGAATGAGAAAAATCTCAACAGCGCTGAGCAGGAGGCGGAAAACGGGCGGAGAAATCAGCTAAAAACATCAAATGTAAACACTTTCAACATCTTTAAGTACTTTCAAACGCCTTTGACATTTATTTTAACACCCTGAACAAAGAAAAAGTGAAGTAGAGTAAATAATGATGATAAGTATTCTAAACAGATCAGCCTGCAGCTCACAGCGAGCGACAGTCTGACCACATCACAACGAACTGCTTCTGTTTAATACATTAGTTTTTTATCATAAGCGAGGAATATTTAGATAAGGCAGAGTCTGCCGGTAGAACGTGAAGGAGTGAGCGTTGAGAACCGTTTGATTATATCGGCTTTTAAAAAATGTAAAAAAAATAAAAATAAAAATAAAAATAATAAAATAAAATAAATAAACAAAATAATGGAACCCCCGTCTGTGAGATTCTGAGCGTTGCAGGAAAAGAGAGGGAGAAAGAGAAAGAGAGGGAAAAGGAGCAAGAGAGGGAGAAAGAGGGTAAAAGAGAGAGTAAGAGAGGGAGAAAGAGAACTAGGGGGAAAAAGAGAAAGAGAGAGAAAGAGAAAGAGGGAAAAAGAGAGTGAAGGTTCGTACCTCATGTTGGGGAAAGTGATCCCGACAGGCGTGCAGTAGGCGCTGGAGTGCATTAAGATCCCGTAGATGAGCAGAGCCAAAGCAGCTTTGCTAGATCTGGCCATGCTGAAAAGAATAAAAAAACAAAAAGGTGTTAAAATCATTCACATCTCTCAGCGGACATTACAGCCTGTGCAGCGAAACGCTTTTCTCTGCCTGTCTTTCTTTTTTTTACGTACGTTTCTATTACTATTTCTTTTTCGCAGGTTTAAGTAATAAACTTCTACTCTGAAACGTCACTGATTTTCCAGCGGAGCGGCGCGCGGCTTCACTATTCCTTTTTTTTTCATTTTCTAAAATCCGCTCATCAGTTTTCAGCGTTGGAAAGTTTAAAAAACAAGAATGCCAGACAGTCTTCCTCTGATGAGACGAAAAAAAATATAAAAAAAAAGAAAAATCCGGGAGCTGGAATTCCTTATTCCGTCTCGGAGCGGCTTAAGGGGGCGCGGGGGGCGGAGAGCACGTACCTACAGCAGGTCTGGGGGAGAGGAGGAAGGCTGGCGTGTCGGTCGGGGTGCGGCTGGCTGTGAGAGTGCGGGAGAGAGAGGACGTTTCTCGCGGCTCCTCTTCCCTCAAGCGCCACCGTGCTGCTCCTCCTCCTGCTGGGCTCTCCGGCGCTCCGAGCCTCTGAGCGTCTGAGTCTCCGAGTCTCTCGCTCTCCTCTCTCTTTATCACTTTTATACAAGGAGCGCTGCGGGCAGCAAAACCGCCAGATCAGCGTCGCAAACAAAAGAAAAGAAAAGAAAAGAAGGTCTTCGAGCTCAGTTGCAGGGCCTACTCGTCCGTCCACATAGCTTTTTCTTTCTCAAACTTTTCGCCCCTCCGATTCCCTCGGATTTTTATCCATGAATAGCGAGTCTTGCCTCCTTTTCTGTTTTTTTCCCACCGAGTCACATTAAGTATGCTGCAGACGTCATCGAGCCTTCCTCCCGGAATATGACGGCGCAGCTCCTTCCTCATCGATGAGCGAGTCACTCTCATGCAGCAGGAATGGAAACTTTTTTTCCTCTTTAAAAACTTCGCCTTTTTTCTGAGAATTTTACAACTTTCTTTCTTTCCTTCTCTTTCTTTTTTTTTTCTTTTTAACTTTTGTGACAGCGCTCTGAGATTACATTACACGGGACGGTTTGGAGCTGCCAGTCATTAGTCATGTCGTACAGACATTTTTAAATATTTTACAGCCAGATGACTAATGACGAATACAGGAAGGATGAACGGATTCTTTTAATGAAATTTCGAAAAGGAAAGAAACGAGGCCACGTCTGAGAGCGAGCGCAGGGAGCTGTCCACTGCTGTGGTGCTGATCTCCACACACAGTCGTCTCATACTGTCTTATACCGGCCTTTACATACAGCTGATACAGAGTAGAAATGACAGCCACTCCATACACACTGCTTCTTCAGTAAAAGGAATGGTTCTATTTAGAACCATGAGTTTTATACACAAACATTTCACACATGGTTCTTTGCATGTTGAAATGGTTCTTCAGACTGATGGAGAATGTGTTGTATGTGGTTCTACACTCTTACAAAAGATGGTTCATCAAGGGTTCTTTAGTAAAGACAAATGTCTATATAAAACCATGAACACTGAGAGAACCATATGTTTAATTAAATTGTTCTTTGCACGGTGAAATGGTTCTTCAGACTGATGGAGAATGTGTTGTATATGGTTATATATATATATATATATATTATATATATATATATATATATATATATATATTGAAATAGCACCAAAGCTTAACATCATAAAAAAGCAGAACGCTTTTGGGTGCTATCTAGAACCATTTTTAACAAGCCTCATACAACACATTCTCCATCAGTCTGAAGAACCATTTCACCAGAACCATTAAATAATGCAAATGGTTCTTCGGGTGTTCATGGTCCTATATAGTTGTTAGTTATGTATTTTTTTGTATTGCACTGTTCTGTGTTTAACTCTGTCCTTTTTTCACTAGGTGTCAATGACCTTCTGATTCTACCAGTATCTGAGCTTAGGACTGACTTTCTCTCTAACCTATTGGTAGCTAGCGAAGATTCTTTCTCTGGATAGACAAAGCACTTTTTGTAAGTCGCTCTGGATAAGAGCGTCTGCTAAATGATGTAAATGTAAATGTATACAACATGTTCTTCATCAGTCTGAAGAACCATTTCACCATTTAAGTGTGAAATGATTGTGCTATATAGAACCATTTTCAAAAAGGTTCTATATATAAATATATACAAAACATTCTCCATCAATCTGTAGAACCATTTCACCAGGCAAAGAAACATTTACTTATGCAAATGGTTCTCTGAGTGTTCGTGGTTCTATATAGACAATTGTCTTTGCTAAATAACTCTTGATGAACCATCTTTTTTAAGAGCGTAGAATCACATACAACACATTCTCCATCAGTCCGAAGAACCATTTCACCATTTAAGTATGAAATGATTCTATACAGAATTAATGTTTCTAACAGAACCATTTCCTTTTAAAGAGTGCAGATCAGACATGGAGCAGAAACGATCGTGCTAAGATGCCAGTCATTCATACAGTCATGTTCATGTGTGGCTAATGCAGCTCTGTCTTTATCTATAGAAAACAAATTAGTAATAAAAAATAAATATACTTATATGTTTATCATCACATTGGCCAGTTAGCATGTCCAAAAGACATCATAAATCATTATGTAGACAAAAATAACTTTACTGCAAAAATGTGACAGTTTTTGGCAGTTTGCCCAAAAAAGTCATCTCACATTTCAGCGCGCTAACCGTTCAGATCTAATCAGCTCATCACAGTAATTAGAAAATAACAGAGCAGCTCGCTGAAGCTGCGTTTGTGCTCAGTTGCTGTGAATGCGAGCGGCTTTTCTGCCTCGCTTTGAAACTCAGGCCGCTCCACACAAATCGATCTCGCGATCGTATAATAATAATCTTATAATAATGATAATAATCCCCCCGTTGACGCTCCGTTCACTCTGACGTGGCGTGACGAACACTCGCAGTCACGGGCTTCACTCAGTCCGCTTCACTCCAGCATGAATCGCGGCGAGCTTCGTCCTCCTCGTTTTCCCCACCTGTTTTCCGACTAGCCCCGCCCACTGCGGTGCGATTGGCCAGGAGTTCACACTCACAAGCGGTTCGCCATTCATAGCGGGCTGGAGACTGTCAGAATATGGGTGGGGGATGGGGTGAGCGTTTCACTGTGGGGGTCTTGTTCAGCACTTCAAGAGCGCCACCATGCGGCTGAAGCTCGCAGCTGCTTTCAAAGCCTCAGAAAGCCATTAGCGGTTTGGACGTCTGCTTTTCTCGCCACTCAGCCCAAACCGCTCACTCTGCTACTTCACTCAAACACGTCTGAAACGGGGAACAAGTGGCTTTGGCTTCTGCTTTGCGTGTTTCAAACGCCGGACAGGATAAGCATGCAGACAAGGGTAATTCCACCGATTTTTAAAATTTCTGAATTATTCAGTCCTTGAGATGTAAACAGAGTCAATACACATTTTATTTACTATCCAAAACCACCAGTGATTCTACATGTGTCTCCTGAGTTTTTATACGGAATGTTGATGATGGATAAAGAATCAGATCTGCAAGTTTTCACTTCGGAATATTTTGCCTCACAACACGCTGCATGTACCCTACTGTGAACCCATGAACAGATTAAAATACACTTTAAATCAAAACCTGATCGCAAACTGTGATAAAACAATGTTTCAGACATCACGCAGTATATATCTAACCATTTCATGAAATAACGGAGCTTTAAGAAGTGGTCTGGGTCCTATTACCACCACTGTGAATGATTCTGACTCGGCAGGTTACTCTTGTATGGAGCCTTTCACACCAAACCACTCTGAATGACTCTGCATCTCAAGCATTTAATTATGTAGAATTTTAAAAATATCAGTGGAGTTCCCCTTTAGTATTGTAGTAAAAATGACACACATTGAAGGCTCCTGGGAAAACCTTAATTGGTGCACCTTTAATCCCTGCCCTTGCCACATCATCTGCAGTTTTCCTCTGCTTTTCTGTGCTAATTAAGGGCAGTCTAGTACAGTTTGCTTCTGGAATGTTGAAGGGGAGGGGAGTGGAGGGGAGGGGAGTGGAGGGGTGGGGTGTTATAATGAGTCAGAATGAGTCACACTTGCTACAGTACATGCTGTCAAAATGCTACACATGGCTGGAGTGACGTCAACCCACATATAGGCCAGCCTCAAGTAGTCTGGACTTTCTATGTGTTGCGCTCCACAGTATTCTTGATAGGAGGGACCACCACCACCACCACCACCACCGCCCACCAATGCACACAGTGCTGACTTGAACTTAATGTAAGTTCAAGGTTATAAAATCGTTTTGCGTCAGTGCAGATTGTCACGGTTGCCTCTTCAACTTGCCTTGAATGGAGGAGATGTTAGGGCGTTGTGTTCCTTTGTTTTAAAGCGCTCACTCACTGTAGTCTCTGCTGCAATAACGATGACATATGGCTTTAATCTGCTCACTGAAAATACTCCGAATGTGAACAGCAGACTGATTCAAACTAATAGAATTAAACTAGTCAATCATTTTAAAAAGCAGAGGTCATGCACAGTTTATTTCTATTACACTGACTGATTTTTTTAATGTTTAAGAGGCATAGCACCTTTACATTAAGGCCTCATATTCTTCATTACCTTGTTTTTTATTCTTTCTTCTGAGGTTCCCTTATGAAATTTGCATAATTTGCACCAAAAACAGTCGTAATTCATTCTTACATGAACATTTCTTCAAATCTACCTTTATCCTTTAGGATGAAACAGATGGTTAGCGTTGCTGTACCTTTTAGACTGATACATGTCTACACTGATCAGCCACAACATTAAACTTCACTCTTTGTCCATTTTATCAGCTCCACTTACCATATAGGTGAACGTTGTAGTTCTACAGTTACAGACTGTAGTCCATCTGTTTCTCTGCATACTTTGTTAGCCCCCTTTTACCCTGTTCTCCAGTGATCAGGACCCCCAGGACCACCACAGAGCACGTATTATTTGGGTGGTGGATCGTTCTCAGCACTGCAGTGATACTGACGTGGTGGTGGTGTGTAAGTGTGTGTTGCGCTGGTATGAGTGGATCAGACACAGCAGTGCTGCTGGAGTTTTTAAACACTGTGTCCACTCACTGTCCACTCTATTAGACACTCCTACCTTGATGGTCCACCTTGCAGATGTAAAGTCAGAGACAGTAGCTTATCTGTTGCTGCACAGTGTGTGTTGGTCATCCTCTAGTCCTTCATCTAGTTAACTTCTTCAGAAGTCCCTGATTGGCTGGATCACATGCTTTAGTTTTAGGTAAGGAGAGGAAGCAGCATTTTAGATGCAAGTTGGAACTAAACTCTGCAGTAAAGCAGCTCTGCAAGAGGAGGGTTGGTGAAGGTGGTGCTGCTGTCATCAACATGACAAACTGGGGTTCGATGCCCCATCTGGGCAATCACACCAGGCTATTTCAAAAAGAGTCTCCAACCATGCATTGGCCTGGGGCTGTTTTCCCTACAATAGTGTTGGTGAGTTTGTGTTTGTCGATGGGATCATGGACTTAGAAGTGTATGAAGGCAATCTGGTTGCAAATCTGTAAGAGTCTGAAAAAACTGTGCAAACAATAACAATCTGAATCACATTATTCACATTTCAAGCCCATTTACACCTGGCCGTTTCATGTGACTTGTATCTGGATTGTAACTTGATAAGATTTTTGACCACAGGCATTTAATCAAATGTGTTTCCCAGTCTGAGCATAATTAGTCACCGCAATATACAGCGATGGACAACCAAACGTTCTCCTCATTCAGCGGTCCATGGTTGCTTGGCAAGGATACCATACTCTAAATGATCAGGGGTGGATTTAGT